TAGCTGCAGACCAGTGCTGAGGTCGGTGTCTGCCTGTGGCCACAAAGCGAGCCAGGATGCTGAGAGGGTATGCGAGATCTGGACGAGTGCAAGTCATCAGGTACATGAGGCAACCCACCAGCTCTGCGTACGGACCACTGGGCTCTGCTGACTCCTCAGGAACTGGAGCAGAGAGCCTGTGATCTACTGGAAGAGGTGTGGGCTGTGCGGAGGAGAACTGAAGACCGAACCTCTGGAGGACCTGGCGCACCAAGTGTGACTGGGTGAGAGTGATGGTGCGCGCTGCTCTGTCTCTGGAGATCTGCAGGCCCAGGTAGTGGCGCAGCTCTCCTAGGTCAGTGCAGGTGTGTCTCCTCAGCAGCTCAGCCTTTACAAAGGCCAGCGCGGTGGTGTCTGCAGTGGCAAAGACCAGATCGTCTACATAAACAAGGATGTAGAATGGAGTCTGGCCAGAACGAACGAAGAGCGAAGGGTCTGCGAAAGACGGAAAGAACTGCAGGTCTGCAAGAGTAGCACGCAGCGTGTCGTGCCACTCGAGGGGAGCCTGACGCAAGCCCCGTAGACTGGGCGCCGCAGAAGCCACTGAGTCCCAGAAGGGAAGGTACCAGTGAAACCCTGAGGGCGGCGCATGTAGACCTGCTCGTGTAGACTCCCTTGAAGAAACGCAGTGGAGAAGCCGAGGGAGTGTAACTCGTAGTCACGCTGTGCTGCTACGTGTAGTAGTGCCCGAAGCGTAGTCATCTTTGGCGTCGGTGCGAAAGTTTGAAAGAAGTCCACCCCCTCACGCTGACTAAAGCCTCTAGCCACGTAGCGCGCCTTGAACACAGGCGGCTCTCCAGGAGGGCGCTTCACCTTGAAGAGCCAGCGGCCATCGACTACGTTCACCCCAGGTGGGGTAACTGCGTCGACATAGGTGCCGGTGGATCTCCAAGATGCCATCTCCTGCTCCATGGCAGCTATCCACTGAGAGGCCCAAGGTCCCGAGGTCACCTCAGCATATGTGCGAGGGGTCGGGATGTCGAAAGCGTCTGGGTCACCCTCAAGGACTAACAGCATGGAACAGAGATGGGGAGCAGCCTCGGACAGGAAAGCAAGCTCGTACTGGCGGTCCTCCAGGACGTCACTGCCGAGGGTAGGAGCACCCCCGACAGACGGAGGACAGGCAGGGTCAGAGGCCAGAGCGGTGGCATAGTCAAGGCGGCGGGTAGAGGCGAAGTCAGCGACCGCAGCGACAAGAGTGTCGAGACATGAGACCGGAACAGACGGGTCGGTAACGAGGGAGGCAAGGACCCGAGGAACAAGGGGACCAGCGGCGCAAAGGTTGTCAGGCAGGAGGGGAGGCGCAACAACAAGAGAGGATGGAGGCGGCGACGGTAGGAGGGTAGGACGAGACGCGTGGGAACGAAGCAACATAGGGTGAGAGTGCGGGACAGGGGAGACGGGGCGAGCACGGGAGGGACGGCGAGACCAGACGTGAGACGAAGGCGTCCAGTCAGGAGACAGAATAGGGGACAGAGGAGGGGAACGAGTAGGAAGATGAGCCGGAGACGAGTCCGGGGGAGGGAACACAGGGCCGTAGACAGGAAGGGGAGGAGACGGCAGGGGAGGCACAAACATGTGGTCAGGGGACGGTAGGCCAAGCAGGCGAAGGGCTGACACTGGCAGTGATTGCTGCTGCGGCGGCACGACACCGACACCGGGATGGCAAGCTGCTCCACGGCTACCTCCGGAACACTCCACTCCAGCACCCCTAGAAGGAACACCCCCAGGGCCCGAAACCCCGCGAACACCGGTACCACCCCCAGGCCCGCCAGGACAAGCCACGACAGGAACCCCAGAACTAGTACCCACCCCAGTGCCAGCACTCACAGAGTCAACAAACTGCTGCTACGTCGGTTGCGGTGACGGCTGCGGCGGCGGCGGCAGCGGTGACGGCGGCTGCGACAGCGGCGGCGACGGCGACTTCGAAGGCGGCGGAGGAGGGGACACCTGGGAAGGGGCAGGCGGCGAGGACTGCACTGCAGTGTCACTAGAGTCAGTAGACTCCTCGACCGGGACAACCGACGGGAGGGGAGTGACGTGAGACACACCAGACGGTGCAGGACGGGGAGGGGGAGGGGGGGGCAGGGGCGACCGGGGAAGGGGTGACCGGGGAAGGAGTAACTGTGGGACCTCTGTGGGGGAAGCGGTGGTAGAAGGAGACGGACTCGTCAAAGGTGACGTCACGGGAGTGAAAGAACCGGTGAGACGGCGGGTGGTAGAAGTGCCAGTCGGACGCGTCAAGGGGGAAACCGAGGAAGACACAAGGGAGGGTGTGGGCAGTGAGCTTGTCCGTGCCAGAGGCACGAACGTAAGCAAAGCAGCCCCAGACGTGAAACACAGAGGCATCACCAGGAGACCCAGACCAAAGAAGGGTCGGCGAAACCTGCGGCTGCTGGGGGTGCGGCCACATGTTAAGCTGGTAAGCGACGTGGCGATTAGCGAACGGCCACTGAAAATGGGGTGCACCGGCATGGATCATGGAGGTACAGGCCACCTCCATGACCAAGCCGATGCGTCGCTCAGCGACCCCATTCTGCTGCGGGGAGTCTGGCAGGGTGAACGTCTGGGTGATGCCCTCCGCACGACAGAAATGACCAAGGACACCAGAGGCAAACTCGCCACCACGGTCAGAGTGGAGACGCAAGACAGGGAGACTGCGGTGGACACGCGCAGAGAGAAGCCACGGGATGAGAACGTTACGCACGTCGGCCTTCCGCTCCAGGGGGAACACGGTGGTGTAGCGCGTGTAGTCGTTGACAAGCACTAGGAAGTAGCGCTCTCGACGCGGCCCATGGACAAGGGGGGGGGGCCAGACGTCCATGTGCAGGGACCACCCGGCAGCCCACCACGCGCACGACCACCACGTCCACCGCCACCACCAGCGCTAGGCCACCCAGGCGGGAGGCCACTCGCCCACCTCTGCTGCTGCGGCTGCTGAGGCTGGTGCGAGGGCTGCTGCTGCGGCTGGTGCGTGTCCGGCTGCGACACCTGCCGCTGCTGAGGCGGCTGCTCGGCTGCACTTGTCAGGGTCCCCTCGTCAGTGCTACCACTAGGTGACCCGACTCCACCACCACCTCCACCTCCATCTCCACCCCCACCGCCGCGCCCAGCCTTGGGGCGGCAGCCCTTCCCGGAACGGATCTGCGCTGCAGCTGCGGACTCAGCCACAGTGACAGAACCGTCGGAGAAGAGGCACTGAGCGGGGGCACAACCCTGAAAGATAGGGACCGGCACACTACCGCTGGTCTGGGCGACAGAGCGCTGACGGGTCTCTATGGCAGTCAGGGTGTCGACAAAGTCAGTGAGAGTGCTAAGGAAGTGGTCGCGGGCAGTAGCAAGACGATCAGGGAGGCGGGTGGCAAGCAGGTAGAGGGCAGAGTAGAGGGGCGGCTGAAAGGCTCAAAGCTGGGTCTCAGTGCAGGCAGCACGCCAGGTCGCGTCTATCGTGCGCAGGTGAGCGGCGAGGTCAGCGACAGTAGGGAAGGACGCAAGGTCTGGGAAGAGCATCGGCAGGATCAGGCGACCTACAGAGGCAGCAGGTGGGGTGGAATAGCGCTTGACGACGGCCTCTAGAATGTCCTGCGCAGTCGTGACTGACCTAAAGCGTGGGCGCTCAGATAGGGGGAGGTCATGACTGATCGCAAGCTGCGCGACAGCGTCACGCGACAGCCAAACTGAGCGGGCAAGGCAGCAGCTGCAGCGGACTCACGGTCAGCGGACGAGGGGTCAGCGGACAGGGGAGCCGGCGGGTCAGGGCAGGGGAGCGTACGGTCAAGGTGGACCGCCAGGGAGTGGCCATCCTGCCGCTGACCAGTGAGGTGACGCCGGAGGTCGACCAGCCACGTGTCAAACTCGATCGGCTGTCCCTCTGCGTCGAAGCGGAGCACGAAGTCCGCCATCAGGAGCGATGCAGCAGCGGCGCAGTGCTGTACGGTGCAGAGCGGTGCAGTGTTGTGTTGTGTGGTGCTGTGCGGTGCAGTGCGGTGCTGTGCGATGCAAAGCGGTGCAGTGCTGTGCAGTGCTGTGCGGTGCAGAGTGGTGTAGTGCGGTGTAGTGCTGTGCAGAGTGGTACAGCACGGTGTAGTGCGGTGCTGTGCGGTGTAGAGCGGTGCCTGGCGGTGCTGGTCGGGAAGGACGAGCCGGGCACGAGTCGGAAGTGGGCGGCGGCGAAACGAACGCGGGGCCGGCGCGGAGCGGGCGTGAAGAGGCCGGCTAGGAGAGGGCGCGGGGCCAACAAGGGGCGGACGCAAGGGGCCAGTATGGGGCGGACGCAAGGGGCCGGTATGGGGCGAGCGCGACGGGGGCGCGACAGGCCGGCTAGGGACGGGCGCGACGCCTCAGGGGAGGGGCCGGCTAGGGATGGGCGCGACGGCTAGGACGGGCGCGACGGCGCTGGGTGCCGGCTAGAACGGCCGCAGCGGCTCAGGGGGGGCGGCTAGGACGGGCGCGACGGCGCAGGGGGCCGACTAGGACGGGCACGACGTCTCAGGGGGCCGGCTAGGAACAGGCGCGACGGCTCAGGGGGGGGCGACTAGGACGAGCGCGACGGCTCAGGGGGCCGGCTAGGACGGGCGCGAACGACTCAGGGGGCCGGCTAGGAACAAGCACGACGGCTCAGAGGGCCGGCTAGGACGGGCGCGACGGCTCAGGGGGCCGGCTAGGACGGGTGCGAACGGCGCAAGGGGCTGGCCAGGAACAGGCGCGACGGCTCAGGGGGCCGGCTAGGACCGACGCGAACGGCTCAGGGGGCCGGCTAGGACGGGCGCGAACGGCTCAGGGGGCCGGCTAGGACGGGCGTGACGTCTCAGGGGGCCGGCTAGGAGCAGGCACGACGGGCTAGGGGCGGCGCGACGAGGGCCTACGGCGGAAGCGTGGGCGGCGGGCCCTACCTACCAAGCGTGATACCATCTTAATGTAGGACTGAATATCGATAGAAAAACGTACAAGGGTATAAGCCTAAGTGTTGTACCCTCTAAGATACGAACCTATACAGTCTATACAAACATAACGTATATATATGTTTGACACTACCGTACTCATTATTATTACCACCTTGTCATTTCGGACATTTCCAATACAAGGTGTTTAAGTCTTCCGCTGACTTTTTCTTGTGGTTCCACCAACCCTGGATCCTGGCCACCCTAAACACGTGGTTCACTCCAACAGTACAAATGGTGCGTGTTAGATGGTAGAGCTATGGCTGTTTCACCACCCAGCACAGAGCCAGGAGTGAGCTGAGCAGACAGCAAGGCATAAATCAGCCAGCGCGGCCAATGCAGCCGCAATGCGAGCAGGGAGGGCAGGTGGGCAAGACGCAACACACAAGGTGGGTGCATGGAGAACGCAGCACAGTCGAACAAGGCTAAGCTGTGTGGAGCAGAGGGTGTCAAGTAAAGTCAAACAATGCCGCGCCGACGCTTGGCAGGGGGTGCAGAGGGCACAGGTGCGGCCACATCAGGCACAACAAAGCAGTCATCGCAATCCGGCAGCAGGGCGGACGCGGCTGCTGCCGCCCTTGCTCGCCCTCCCACCCCCACCACCGACACCCCACCTGCAACCGCTCCCATGCCTGCCCCACCCGTGCTCGCTGCATTACTTGGCCCAGCCCCAGCTCCAGCCCCAGTGGCGGCGGCGGCAGCAGCAGTGGGCAGCGGCGAGGCGGCCATGAGGGAGAAGGCGGTGGAGAAGGGCGCGGCGGGCACGGGGGCGGGCGTGGCGAGGTGCGGCACCTCGTGCAGTGACTCCGCGTACATCTGCTCGTCGAACAGACTCAGGTCCGCCGTCCAGTCAAAGTCGCCCAGGTCGTGCGCCTCCGCCTGCGCGCAGCGCGGGATAGGTTAGGAGCGGTGCAAGGGGTGGGGGGGGGGGGGGGGGGGGGAGGGCGGAAGGGGGGTGCGGGGGAGGGGGGATGAGGGAAGGAGTGAGTGGGACATAAGCGAACAGAGAACTTGGGAAATGTCAGTGGTTCCATTCTCACTCCACTCTCACCGCTCACACCCACACACCCAGCGCACACAAATACCAGTCCTACTTGCCTTCCCCTCAACCATACTCTGCCTTATATACAATGTCCTCTGCTCTATTGCCACACTAGCCCCATAGATTGCCGCACGCCCATGTTGCCTAGCCATACCCCACACCCCCCCCCATCCCTCCGCCCCACTTCCCACCCTGCCCCTGCCCTCCCCTTCCGCCTCCCTGCGTCCGCCCCCCTTCCGCCCCATGAAGTGCTACAGCCCCCCGCGCGTCACCTTGGAGGACCCCACGTCCGCGAGCGAGTATCCCCCCGCCAGCTCCGGAATGTTCAGCAGCTCCTCCACGCGCCACTCCGCGCCCCCCCCGCCTCGCACTCCAACGCCCCGCCGCCCTCGCCCCCTCCCATCCCTCCGCCGCCACCCACTCCCCCTCCTTCCCCTCCTCCCGATCCCCTTCCCCCTCTATTCGATGTGCCCGCCCCCTCCCCCCCGCGAGCCAGCGCATCCGCCCCTGCGCCCATCCTCCCCTTCCCTAGCCCCCCTCCAAAGCCGTCCGCCGCGTCAGGCGCAACTACTGGCTGCGGGGGAAACGAGAACCCCGACACGGAGCCGCTTCCGCCAAAGGGCGTTGAAGATCGCCCGGCCATGCTGCTGGCGCCGCTGCCTGCGTACACGTGGCCTGGCAGCTGACCTGGCGCTGCGTGATTGGCGGTTGCCAGCGACGAGCCCCAGTCCGCCTTCCCCCTCCGCGACGCCCCGTTAGGAGCGAAGGCGGCGTTCCCTTTCCGGTTGGCGCGGAACGGCGCAGGCGCGGCTGCCGCGCTACCCGCGACGGGAACAGTGGGCGCAGCGGCTGCAGTAGCTGCGGCGGCGCGCGCTTGTGCGTGCGTGCTGTTGGACGGAGGGGTGGGGGAGGACGGCACTACCGCAACAGCAGCGGCGGAAGCGGATTGAGAGGTCGGGGAAGCGGGCGGCCTGGGGGCGACGAAAGGCGCGGCACTTGAAGCGGGGGCGGAGGGGGGAGGCGCGGGAGGCGTAGCGGGCGCAGCGAAGGAAGCTGCTAGCGGGTGCGGGTGGGGGATGGGGGCAGCCGCGGGGTTGAAAGCGGCAGCTGAGTGCGCAGGGGGAGGGGCGAGGGCGGAGGCGAAAGCAGAGGAAGGTGGCGGCTGCGGAAGGGAGGCGTCCGCCGGAAGGGCTTCGAGCGCAACCCGGCCGTTGGGGAGGAGGAAGCGGCGATGGCGCGCGGAGAGGGAGTTGGGGAGATGGATGGCGACGTCGCAGGCGCGGCAGAGAATGGCGCGGTCCTCCACGCAGAAGAAGAAAGCGGGCTTCTCCTGGCAGGGGATCGCGGGGGTCGGGGGTCGGGGGGGGGAAGGGCGGTGCAGGGGGGGTTGGGGGGAGGGGAGGGAGTGAAGGGGGGAAGGGAGTGAGGGCAGGATGGATGGAGGGCGAGGTGGAGAGGGGGAGAGGGGGAGGGGGGGAGGGGGGAAGGGAGGAAGGAGGGAAGGAAGGGGGGGAAGGAAGTGGGGGAGGGCGGGATGGAGGGCGGGATGGAGGGGGGGGGAAGGAGGGAGGGAGTGAGAGCTGGAGGGAGGGAGAAGAGAAGTGTGAGGGGTGAGGCGGGAAACACGGGCTCTCCGCGCTCACATCCGCACTGCCACGCAAATCTACGAGGGCTCGTCGGAACAGAATCGATAAAGCCTTGCACAACTCAGAAGAACAACTCTTAACGCTCACTCACTCGCCCCGCCGCCTCTGAAGTGCGGTGGAAGCGCGACTCACCGCGCCTAGCGTGCTGTTGACAAAAGAGTTATTACTACTGCTTTTGCGATAATCTCTTGAATGTTCCAGCAACTCTTCGTTTAATTCCTATAGTGTGTTATTACGACTAGAAACGCAACAGCTCGTGCGACGATCTTCCGCCATGCGCCCGTCGCGCGCTCACCTGGCAGATGTCACACACGGGGCGCTCGGCGGGGTCAGGCTGGCCTATGGCCACGCGGTGGTGCTGCTTCGACACCTTGTTGGCGGCGTGCACGCGCCGGTCGCACTCCGCGCACAGCGCCGCCTCGTCCGCGCAGCAGATGAGCACCGCCGCATGGCGCTCGCACACGTCGCACTGCACGCGCATGGGGGCGAGCTGCCGCCGCGGGGAGCCGGCGAGAAGGGCGGTGCGCGCACGAGACCGCGGAGAAAGCCGCCGACGGGTTGCGATGCCGGCGGAGACAGTGACGAGGTTTTTTAAGGCTAGTCTTGAAGCTAGAGCTAAGCGGGGTCAAGGCGACTGATTGTGAGAGCGCTTTGCGGAGGAACGAGGCGCGCACGACGGGGCTGAGATGAACGCGGATAGAACTAACAGGGGCCGCCAACAGATGGAGTCAGTTCGCAAGAGGTGTGCCACAAGGATGGAAAATGAGAGCGCTGCACTACTGCACGACGACTGTCTCCTGTGCTGGAGCAAGGTGGTCAGAAACGGCAAGAGGCAGAGCAGGCTGGATTACTGCCTCCTGACTCGTCGTGAGCATGGTTGCAGCAGAGAAGGCAAGCCTAGGGAGAGAGGAGGAAGGTGAGGTGAGGTGGGGTGTGCGGCAGATGCTCTGGGGTTGAGGGCGCGCTCCTCCTCCCTTATGGCAGGAAGCTTTGTGGCACGTTCTCTACGGACGAGATTGTCAAGTAAGAGATTTCGGATAATCCTGCACGTTAGAAAACACCATAAAACATGCTGACACGAGGGCGAAATAATCCCTGAGTTGAGACCAGATTCCTCTGTCAATAATTCCACGGCCAAACAGTTGGAATGTGCTGAGGTTACTTAGCGCTTTACCCTGTAAATTCGATGCAATTTACCCTGATGGTGGACAGGCAAGCTGCAGTTGGAATGTGTGGAGGTGACTTGGGAAATCGCAAGATCTGTGTGGTGGGATTCGCGTCCGTCCACTGGTGATATTATGTGTGGTCAAAATTCGTTTGGCCAAGGGTGCGGAGCCCACACCGTTCGAATCGCCACTTCTCGAGGAGCGCGGCGAGAAGCAGCCAGTCCACCTGTCGAAAATGTGCTTGAAGATTGGTCACGAACGATCTGTAGATTCGTATGAAGCGTCAGGAACACAGAACGTCCGGTACGATTACGCTGGACTCATGAAGTTATGAAGCAAAACATCCTAGCCCATTCAAGGGCAAAATAAATCTGAACTTGTGGTAGAACAAATAGTTCCTAAACATTGTGTGAAAGTTGGATAAAGGTAGAGAAACGTCCACCTGTTTTGGTAATGATATTCAAGAGATCACACAAAAAAAGGTGAATACAATGAACAATGAGATGTTTTACCATCCATGGAAATCTTTGGTAAGCATATTGCATAAACAAACACTACGCAAACGGGGTCGGGCACCTAAACAATCAAGTCATGCACCCAAATGCAACGGTACTCAAACAATCAAGTCATGTACTTTACGTGATACACTCCTCTGGCCGGTCTAAGTAAGGACACCGATTGTGGATTTTGTTTGCGTCATTATTAACTTATTACATATTCTAGCTGGCGTAGTGGAAGGAAAAAAAATGAAAAAAAAAAATGCAAAAGGACTTGTCATTATATCGAAGATAGTCAAAAACAGAGAAACAAGATGTGTGAAATTCGGATGTGTTGTGGTATATTTCATACTTAGCATTTCTGTAAGTCGTTTATCGATAAATAGTGTCGAATCTTACTGTAGAAGATAAGTCCGTAGGATGACGTCAGCAAATAGCGCTCGTCATAGGACAGTCGTTTCTGTCAAACATAAGTTATGCAGTTACTGTAGACTATACATGCTTGTGTCTTAGAGGGTACAGCTCACTAGTCTATATTGTCTTGTATCTCACTTTTCTAATCATTATTTCATTCTGATATGGTATCATCGTAGGTTAGGTCCTCTTCCTAGCCCGCACACGCTTCCGCCCCTAGGCCCTAGCCCCCGTACGTTCTCGCCCCTAGCTGGCCCCCCCTGGCCGTCGCGCTCGCTTCTAGCCGGACCCCTGACCGTCGTGCGTGCTCCTAGCCGGCCACCTGGCCGTACGCGCCCGTCCCTAGCTGACCCCCCTAGCCGTCGCGCCCGTCTCTAGCTGGCCCCCTGGCCGTCGCGCCCGCTCCTAGCCGGCCCCCTGACCGTCGCGATCGCTCCTAGCCGGCCCCCTGACCGTCGCGCCCCTCCCTAGTCGACCCCTGACCGTTCGCGCCCGCCCCTAGCTGGCCCCCTGGCTGTCGCGCTCGCCCTTAGTCGGCCCCCTAGCCGTCGCGCCCGTCTCTAGCTGGCCCCCTGGCCGTCGCGCCCGCTCCTAGCCGGCCCCCTGACCGTCGCGATCGCTCCTAGCCGGCCCCCTGGCTGTTCGCGCCCGTCCCTAGCCGGCCCCCTGGCCGTTCGCGCCCGTCCCTAGCCGGCCCCCTGGCCGTCGAGCCCCTCCTAGCCGCCCCCCTGGCCGTCGAGCCCCTCCTAGCCGGCGCCCTGGCCGTTTCGCGCCCGCTCCTCGTAGGCCCCCTGGCCGTTTGAGCCCGCCCCTAGCCGTCGCGGCTGCTTCTAGCCGCCGTCGCGGCCGCTTCCCGCCGTCCCTCAGCCACCCCTAGTCGTCCTGTCCGCCCCTCGCCGTCGCAGCCGCCCCTAGCCGCCGCCCCTGCCGTCTCCAGCCGCCTCACGGTCGCTCCTGCCGTCCCGGCCGCCCCTAGCCGCCGTCGCGGCTGCCCCTGGCCGCCGTCGCGGCTGCCCCTGGCCGCCGTCGCGGCCGTGTCTACTTGCCGCCCGCCGGCCGGCCCCTGCATTCGCGCCGTCGCCGGCCCGCCGCTGCCTCGGGTTCGGCCCGTTCTTCCCGATCAGCACCGCCCTCCGAACCCCCCCCCCCTGGTACCGTACTGCATCGCTTTGCACCGCTTTGTACTGCATTGAACCACTTTGCACCGCACTGCACTGCACTGCACCGTACTGCACCGCACTGTACCGCACTGTACCGCACTGCACCGCACTGCACCGTACTACACGGCACTGCGCCGCACTGTTCTACTCTACACTGCCCTCTATTGTCACTGATGGCGGCGGTGCTTTGCTTTGACGCTGAGGGCCAGCCGATTGAGTTTGATGCGTGGCTTGCTGACCTCCGTCGCCATCTCATTGGTCAGCGGCAGGATGGCCACTCGCTGTCTGTCCATCTTGATGGTACCCTCCCCTGCCCTGACCCCCCCGCTGCACTGTCTCCTGACCCCTCGTCCGCTGAGCGTGAGTCCGCTGCAGCCGCTGCCCTTGCTCGCTCTGTCTGGCTGTCCCATGATGCTGTTGCACAACTTGCTATTAGCAATGCCCTCCCCCCGTCCGAGCGACCTCGCTTCAGGTCTATCACCACTGCCCAGGCTTTCCTAGATGCTGTTGTCCAGCGCTGTTCCACCCCGCCTGCTGCCTCGGTCGGTCGTCTGATCCTCCCCATGTTCTTTCCTGACCTTGCGTCGTTCCCCACTGTCGCCGACCTGGCCTCTCACCTGCGCACCATAGACGAGACCTGGCGTGCTGCCTGCACCCCCGCACAGCTTCTAGCCCACCAGCCGCCCCTCACCTCTACTCTCTACCTGCTAGCCACCCGCCTCCCTGACCGTATTGCCACTGCCCGTGACCGCTTTCTTAGCGTCCACCCCGCAGACCTTACCCTCACTGACTTTGTTGACACCCTGTCCGCTATAGAGGCCCGCCACCGCTCTATCGCTCAGACCAGCGGTACAGTGCTCGTCCCTATCTTTCAGGGTTGTGCCCCCGCTCAGTGCACCTTCTCCGACGGTTCTGCTGCTGTGGCTGAGACTGCCGCTGCAGCACAGGTTCGTCCGGAGAAGGGTCGCCGCCCCAAGGCTGTACGTGGAGACGAGGGTGGGGGTGCGGGTGCAGGTGGTGCTGGAGTTGGGTCACCTGGTGGTGGTGCTGACGCGGGGACCCTGATAGGTGCAGCCGAGTAGCCGTCTCAGCAGTCGCCGGTGTTGCAGCCAGACCCACGCCAGCCGCAGCAGCCGCAGCTGCAGCTGTCGCCGCAGCCGCAGCAGTCGCAGCAGCAGCAGAGGCGGACGAGTCGTCTTCCGCCTGGGTGGCCCGGCGCTGGTGGCAACGCTGGACGTGGTGGTGGTGCGCGTGGTGGGCTGCCGAGTGGTGGTTCGGGTGCCGCGCGCTGTCAGTACCTACTCCTGACTGGTCCTCACCGTGGCTTTGTTTGTGGTAAGATCGATCATACCTCCGTCTGCTGTTTCCGTTGCCTAGACGACCTGTTTCGTCAGCGTTTCGGCCCGTCGCCCGAGCTCCCAGACTGGCACAGCTTGCTCAGTCGTAGGGTTCAGATTTTTGATCTGGACATGGATGAGATGGTTGCTGCTCTGCATGTGATGTATGCTGATGACTCTAGTGTGCTTCCATCTTGTTACCCCTTTGTTGCCTAGTGTAGGCTTGCCTTCCTTAGACTCCCCTGCTGTGTCAGACGTAGGATCCCCTGCTTTGTTTTGGTGCTTCCGTCGCTGCTTCGCCTCCGGCCGCCACTGCCGCGCTCTTCTTCACCCTCGACTCTGGCGCTCTCGGTGCTTCTTCCGCTCTCGGTGCTTCTTCCGCGACTCCACCACGTTGACACCGCTTCCTGTCCCTGCTGCCGTCTCCCTGGCTGACCCCTCCTCCGGCCCAGTAGTCGCCCGCAGTTCCACCACCCTCCCCTACCCGGCGGTTCCTTCGGGCTCTCTCACAGGGCTGCACATCCCCTCGTTCTCCAGGAACCTAGTTGGTGTCGGCTGCCTCCAGGACCTTGGCGTCACCACTACGTTCCCTAGTCACGAGCGGTACGTTGTCTGTACCGAGGTTGCCTCTGGTGCCCCCCTTACCACGTTCCCCCGGGACCCGGTGTCCGGTCTCTTCACACTGGACACGGTGACCCCCCCGGCTGGGACCCCCCCTCAGGTGACTGCGTCTACCCAGGTTGCTGCTGTTTGCTCCTGTCGGTCACTCACCCATCCGACTCTCCTATGGCACCACCGTCTAGGTCACCCTGCGCTCCCGCGTCTGCGTCACATGTCACAGCACGGTCTCGTCCTAGGCCTCCCTGGGTCGTTCTTTGAGTTTCCCTCCTCCCCTCGCCCACCTTGCCCACCTTGCACACCTTCGCCGTGCTCCTCACTCCTCCTCGTTTCCCCCTACCGCTGCACCGCTACAGACTCTGCACATGGATATCTGGGGCCCCGCCCCCGTCCATGGGCCGCGTCAAGAGCGCTACATCCTAGTGCTTGTCGACGACTACACGCGCTACACCACTGTGTTCCCCCTGGAGCGGAAGGCCGACGTGCCTGATGTTCTTATCCCGTGGCTTGTAGTTGCGCGTGTCCGTCGTGGTCTCCCTCTCTTGTGCAGGGCATCACCCAGACGTTCACCTTGCCGGACTCCCCGCAGCAGAATGGGGTCGCTGAGCGACGCATCGGTTTGGTTATGGAGGTGGCTCACACCTCCATGATCCATGCCGGTGCACCCCATTTTCTGTGGC